TGAAATGGGGAGGTTTATACAATCACACAGTCGGCCTGCCTGCATCTTTTTCTCGATCCATTCCCCACAATAACTTCGGAAGACACCATCCAGTTTCAAAAAAATTTGTGAAAGCAACTGAACTCTCAGTACAATGAATGGGAAAGAGCCTCAGAGATGAGACAGTTATAAGAGTAATGAGGAAAAGCAGAGGAAGGGAGGTGTCATAAAAATAGATTTCATAATGTATCCAAAGAACTCAAACATTGCAACAATGAGCACAGTGGAGAAGTCCACATAGGCCTTAACAATTTCTTATTTAAGGATCAGGATGTGTCAAGTGTTGCCACAGGCAATGTTGTCTAAGAAACAAAAGGACAAAGTGAAATATAGAGGTGATATAGAAATCTCCTGGATCTTAATTTTTCATCTGCTGTACCAATACATTTATATTCATTCATATAAATCAGTGTCATAAGCTACTCAGGCTTTAGCTAAAAAACTGGCTTTTTTTCCTAATTGGTGGCATGAATCTTGCCTCTGTTGCTCACACTTTGCTTTCAGTTTCCTCCACCTGGCTTGCCAGCTCCTGATGAAGAAGGCTGAAGTATCTCTTACCTCAGGTGCTTCTTTGTAGTCAGATATCCGAAATAGGCCAATGACATTAATGCAGTGGCAATCAAAGTGTTATTATTAGTGTCCTGAAGGCACTAATAGAATTGAACAGCCCTGACCAGCCCCACCTGGGGCTGTCACCCATGCTCTCAGTCCATTGGCTTTGGGGTCCTATTTAAGTTCAGCCCTGAGCTCTAGCTGTGTCTGTTTGCATCCCTGGCCCTGCCTGCTGGGGGATGCTGGGCTCTGCTCTGGGTCTGTCCCTTCCCTCTGCACCTTTCCCTGGTGTGTGCTGTAGCTTGTCTTTCATTCTGCCCTCTGAATAGGCTTTGCATCCATGTTGTGTCTTTCTTGGCCTGTCTGTTGCTGCTCCTGAATTATTGCAGTCCCTTTCCTTTTTGTCTCTGTGGTGCCAGCTCCCTGCTCTGCCCACGGTGCCTGGGGTGGTGCCCCCTCGGTAAGGGCACAGCCTTTGCTGCTGAAAACCTCAGCCTGTACTTCTTTGGCCCTTAAAGAGCAACTGGTCCTTGTTTCTTCTTGGCATGCATCTTCTTATGAATCTTATTAATCGTCACTATCTCCATGTAAATCTGACCCTACTTTCAAGGGCATAGAAAAGTGCCAGCATAGTTCTCCTGGATCTGTACTTCTCTGATTATCTTCTCTTCCTTGGTATGATAATTGTGATCCAGTGCATCCTGAGATCTTGCATTTGGTAGAGATTGCAGTTTTCCAGCTTTTTTGGTCACACTTCGGTGAGAGAAGTGCAGACTTATTTTAGTAGTGAATAACAGCTCAGTGACACACCTGTTTTCCTTGTGCTGGTGTTGAGTGTGACTCTTATTTTCTCCTGTCTTTAAGCAGATATCCCATTTCCTATCTTATCTCACAGATTCCTGTATTTCATTCTTGCTCCTTCCTGGACTTTAGTCTCTGGCTGCCTCTCCTATCTCTTTCTAACAGAACAAATTGTCTCATTACTCATAGCCACCTCAGCTAACCTTATTTCATCTTACACTTAAATGTCTCTTCCACAGCTCAGCTTTTCCTGCACTAACCAGTCTTTCTGTGATGGCCACTTACATCCATTAATCATGTTTCTTGCATGTTCAATGTGAGCTGTTCATCTGTTCTCTTCTCCTATCTAAATCCTTCCTGTAATTCATTGACACCTCATGTTGCACTCTCTTCTGTAGCTGTTTCACCCATTAATGCTATCTGAGATTACTCTGCATGAAAAAAATATTCCTTGGTACACATGGCAGACTACTTTCTCTTTCATTTTGCTTTATCTTTCCACCAATACCAATCAATTCTCTTTGCCTTCTTCTTAAACCTATGCCAAAAATGCTAGTACCCAAATGTAGCACTTTCTAAAAGAAGCTCCATGCCAGATACCCTGTTTCCCTGTGCTTGCCCAATGGCTTAGAGAAAAGGGCTGAAAAGCCAAGCAGACAGCCAGCAGGAGAGCCAGCCATCCTTCCACATGGATTTGGGAGCTGTTCCATAACAGGGATCACAGGTAGGAAGCCTTTTCTCTGCCTCTGTCCTGCTCACAACATGCCACAAACTACAGTTCAAACAAACCAGTGGGCAATGAGCAAACTAACACATCTACTTTCCAAAGAATAACTCAACCTTTCCTCTCCTCTCTCACTGAATTTTCCTGTTTATTTTCCTGAATAATTGTTCATGAGTGTTCACACCATCTGTGCTGTGTACTGTAAGCACAGGGTCCTGTGGAATAATGAATTTGATCATGTCATTCAAGGCTAAAATGAGATTGGATGGTTTAATTCTACCATTTCCCAGCTGCAAAGTCTCAGCATTTTTCATAAATTTTTTTAAATATAGTGAATACAGAGTATTCTGTATTCAGAGTATTTAATGTATTTCTAAACAGTAAAATGGGCTAACTTACAGAATTTACATAGAAATACATTTCAATAAGTATTTCCTAAGAAAGTGAAGAGATCTAGGATTTTGTTCTGATCCATTTTAGAATGAGCTGTGAAGTTCAGGTCGAGTGTGACGTTTGGAGAGCTGTAAATCTATAGTTCGGGGTCAGGTTCATTTTACCTTTCCTCTGTTCTCTGCCTTCTGAAGAGCAGGCCCTGTGACCACAGGGGAGAACTTAAAGCCTGAAGTGTCAAACCCAAATAGTGAAAAACACAATGTTGTTGTATTCTCTCGGGGTCTGCGGTGTTGGGATGACCCCAAGAGTGTAAAAGTCCTTGTTTCCTAGCCCATGCAGCCAAAGAAGGAGTCTGAATGCATAGATCAGCTTCTTAAAATTATTTTTCCTTATCTATAACATTCTCTCTGACCTGCTGAGCTCTGTCTAGCAGGCCAGCCATAGCATTGTGTCTGCAGTCTCAGGCAGCATTTACATTATATACTAAAAACTATGTGTATTATGTTTACAATGTGCCAATACCTATCATTTATGTTGGACAGTGTGTCTCTACCTTAAACCAATAGAAAAGTGTCACCATCACAGCAAGACACAGAGGACAAGAAGGAGAAGAATGCCAGGACACACCCAAATCCCTCCATCTTGACCCCTGAATCCTAGTCTAAAAAGCCCCAAATTCTACTTTTTCACTCTGTGTTAATTGAACTATCACATTACTCAGATCCTTGTGGCTTGTCATTCCTCATACAGAGTTGACATTTTTTTTCCATGGGCTAAAATCAAAGCCACAGGTGTTTTTGACTTCATGCCAAGGTCCTGTTAATGGCAAGGCTAAAGGATTGAAGTCAATTTGCACCCCAGTCAAAATGAAATTTCAGCCTGGTATTTTGTTCTGTGCAGTGGGGCAGAGCTGTGCTGTGCTCAGGATCCTCAACAGCCCACAGAGGGATGGGGGTCTAACCTCTGATTTCTGGGAATTTCCTGCTCTAGTGCCAATGTCTTGTGGCATAATAGCAGCTGTTCTTGTGATAAATGTAGTACATGACTTATGGTACCACCCTTTCCTTTCTCTCACACCCTATGCTTGATATTTCCTCCAAAACATTTATCTGTGAAATCGTTTCCCTGAGGCACTGCAAATAGATATTGCAATACTATTTATTTTTTAAAAAAACCAAATCAAAACTAGCAACAACATAAAAATTCTTTTGTAAGGCCATTCTTAATTGTGGATTGATATTACAGAGCCTCATGCACTAAATCAGTTTCTCATGGGAGTGGCTGCTATATTCCTGGTATGTAAAATTACTTGAGAGCAGAAGTAGCTTCAACTTTCTCTTTGAAGAATGGACTAGCTCAGTTTGCAAGGTCTTGTTTCTGGTGTGACTACTGTGATTTGAATATTTCCAAATCTGATATGTATTTGAATATTTCCATGACTAAAAATCATTGTGTTCCAATGAAGGTAGGCAAGTACAAAGGAAGCAGGTTCCTTCTTCAAGTACTTTCTCAAGCAAATAGTCACAGAGAGAACTATTCAACCAGTCTTAGTCAAGACTTTTTGCACTTTATTTACCCACCAAACATTATGTATTGTTTTCTAGCTTAGATGGGTTTATGTACTTCAGCTCCATTCTTCAGCCAGCTTTTGCTCATTTTTGTTGAACATCTTCTAATTTCACCTAATTTATCTGGTAATAAGATGTTTAAAACTGAACATAGCATTGCAGGTACAGTTTTCTGTCCCCTCAGAATTACAGTGCTCTTAGTTTCATAACCCAAAATTTTGCTGGGCCTTTTCTACTAATCCAATTTTTATATAATCATATGTAAGTTGGCAGGCTGGTGCATACTGTACTTAAGTTAAAATATCAGTGCCTTCCTCATAGAATGTGTGGTTTGAGGTTACTTTTCTGTGGGAGTACTGGTTGGTATTTTTCCATTTTTAATATTTTTACTACATTTTTTGGTTGTTCTAGGGTGTTCAAGACTATTTACTCATTCATCTAATAATTTAAAGTTTTATGATTCATGGTGATTCGCTTCCTTATATTTATGCTCTCTTCAGACCAGTGTTAATGTCAAATAAGACAGAGCCCAGCATGTTCTGTTAGCCTGTGCTCCCCTGTGACTTGGCCCCGCTAGCCCAGAGTATATTTGACACTCTTTGCATGCTCTTGCCCTGAATTTGTAAATCAAAATGAAGACATGTGAGCTCACCTAATTTAGAGTCTATAGGTTGTTCATCACTGCTGTCGTTAAACAGCCAACTGAGAGCTAAATGGTTGCTATGTGCATTTTGTAAGGTATATGAGAAGTTCCATTTCATTAATAACTGTGAAAAGAGAGAGCTACATGTTTTAGCTCCAGGATCTGTGGGTTTCCTAAGAGAGCCAGGCAGCTGTGTGGGAATTGTGCAGCTCTTCATGAGGCTGCTGGGAGCTCCACCTGCTCCTGGAGCTGTTTGACCACACTCTCTTTTTCCTGGCAGGTCCATGGGAAGTGTGTGTGCAGACACAACACGGCAGGAGACCACTGTGAGAAATGTGCTCCGCTCTACAACGACCAGCCTTGGAAGCCAGGAGATGGGAAAACAGGGGCACCAAATGAATGCAGAAGTAAGTGGAAAGGAGTTTACTGACCCAGGCTCTCGGGGTGAGCACTCACCATAACAGCAGGCAAAGCTCCCCGACAAAGACTTCTCTGATTTACAGAAACTGGGGATAAGTTGCTGGTCATTGATGGAGAAATCAGTGTGCAGGTCATTCTTCTGCACTGTGGCTAATGGGGAATGGAATTTACAAGCCAGAAATCTGGTTTTCATGTAGCTACACCCCTCCATCCCCAGCATTCCAGGTTCTAGCAGGGTTTAAAATACTGCCAGATTGGTTTGGAAAATGCTACCATGATTTCTGTGCCAGTTGTAAAAGCCTGAGGGCCGCTCTCCTGTCCTCACCAGAGTGTCGCTGTCACAACCACGCCGAGAGCTGCCACTTCGACCTGAGCGTGTGGCTGGCCTCGGGGAAGCGCAGCGGGGGAGTCTGTGACAACTGCCAGCACAACACGGAGGGACATCGGTGCCAGAGGTGCAAACCTGGCTTTTACCGGGACAGAGGGAAGCCCCTGTCTTCCCCAGAGGTCTGCAAACGTAAGTGACCCTGTTACACGAGGCAAAGGATGAATGGGGAAAGCATCGTTAAAAGAACAAAATAATTTCTATAGACTCACTCCTATAGAGGAAACTCATGAGTATTACTGTATTTTCTTTGTATTCTTTTCCTAAACTACAGGGGGTTTTGATCAAAGGTGATCATCCAGATTTTTTTCTATCTATTTGTCCCCATGTTATGACACTTTTTTTGTGATAACAGTTTAAATTCTCCAAATGCATTGCCTCCTGGGGAAATGTACATTCTTCTTGTGTTTGGTTTTAAGTGAATATGGCTCATTTTCTCTTGAGGCACATTTTATTTGCCTGGGGTTTTTTTCTGTACTGCTCAAGACTGTGTGAGCCTATGTGCAAGCTGTTGTTAAATTTAATTTGATTGTGCAACATCTGTGCACATATAATGGATGCAGAAGATACAATAGGCCTGGAACTGTGCATATTCACTTGGGAGCAAATACACCAGGACTCAGACTTATTTCCAGACTCTACAGCTATGTTATGGGGTGCTCTGCCCAAATTGATTGCATCATTGACACTTCAGCAGAATGTGTTAAGGTGTGTCACAGGCACTCATGGCTGCACACAGAGGGTGTACAACCTCTGGATCAAGATATTTTGCACCCAGCTAGTCTGGCAAACAGCCTGAATCTTCCTCACTTAAAGTAAACATTTCCTGAGTATCCTGCCAGGCTTCACATGTCTGATTCTATCTCACATCTGTTTGAGAGGTTGCTATTTCCAGCAATATACTTAATTTCATTTTTCCCTTTGGATAGTTTCCTTCCCCATAGCTCAGACATCATTTGCTAGCATAGAGAACTTTATCCTCTGTTATCTGACGTCTTGCCCACTGGCATTATGAGCTTTTGAAGCTTTTCTGACCCTTTTAATGTGCTTCAATGTGATTCCTCTTAAACACTTAGGTTACTCCTGTCCCTAGGATTGTGAGTCCTGTGATATTACTTAAACTTTCTTGCCCAACATATCCAATGTTTCTGCTCTTTTGCCTTCTTCCCACTGGAATTTGGTGACAGCAGACTGCTTCCACACAACTTTTCCTTCTTTTCACAGTGCTCATCACAGAACATGGACCAGCAGACAGGGCAGAGGGTGAGCTTACCTGGCTCTCCCTGGATCCTGTAGTGTTCTATGGTGACCCCTTTCTAGTTCTATTTGTACTCTGAGCAGATTTGCTACAGGAAAATCTTGCAATGAGAACAAATTGTTATGCCAGAAGATTAGCTTTCACTCTCATAGCACCTGAAAGAATCTCTGTATGAACTCCTGTACTGAGCAGCAGGGAGATGGTGCAGTAACCAGCATCATGTGTAATACTAGATAACTGCTGAAGTCAAGGAGCACTGGAGAGCAGCAAAGAGGAAAAAACGTTGTTTGAAAATACAGGCTATGTGTCTGGAAACCCTAGAACTGTTTGGTTAGATGAAATCAGACCTTGACTCTACGTCTGCCCCTCTTGTCTGGTCTCGTTACAGGTCTCTATGTAACCCCTGCCAATACTCTGCATAGCAAGAGAAAAAGTGTTCAGAAATTTACCTTGTTAAAAGAGCTTTATTCCTGTCGTGCCAGTGAAGCACAACAATGTTCTTTTCACCTGGGAAGGTGCTGCTGCCAGCAGAAGGCCCCCAAATGCAATTGTCTCCACTTTGAGTTGCATGCTCAGGCCTAGAGAGCTGCCATCCTGCTTTAGTCACTGAAAGTTATATGTCTTTTCTAGGCTCCTTGTTCTGTCAGTGGAGAAAAAGAGGGACCCCGGGGGAATTATTTATAGCAGTCTAAGGTAGATGCCTAAAACAGATTGACTGAATTGCCCTCTAAAGAATATCTATTTCCTTAAGAGGTACTCTGGATCACTAGCCTGCACTAGAGTTTCTTTTAGCTGAGATGAATTTAATGGGTTTGATTCAGCAGGAAAGGCAAGCACAACCCTCTCTGTGAATGATTCAAGTCAGTGGGACCTTTCCCAGGGGTGTGAAGGCATTCATGAATGCTTGCCATATCAAGATATAAGGAAAGGGCATTGCAGCCCACTTGGCTTTTACTGCAGCTGTGTGCATGATGCTTGTACCTCTGTGGCAATAGGAGGTACTCTGGATAAAACTACAGAGTTCAGAGAAAACTGGGAAGTAGGTGGTTAACTTGTGCCTTTTCTCTTTTATTTAAGGAAAATAAGAGAATTGCCACAATAAGATTTGACAAATTCCCATTATAGGTATGATCACTTTGTATGATGGAATACCTGATCACCAAACACTTCACCATGAGGATTGCAGACAGTGTGTAAGTGTGCACTTGGTGTTACAGTGCACCTCTGCAGAGAATTCTCAGGGAACACTTCACTGCTTTGGTTATTATCATCAGAAACACCAATGGAGACAGGCTTTGGTTAGAACAGACTCTGTTTGAGGGAAGCTTTTTCTTCCAGGACCATCATCAGCCAACATTAAACTGCAAAACCTTCTGCAGGATAGAGGCCCTCTTCTCTATATTTTAGGTTGAAAACTTGCATTTACAAAAAACCTCATCTGGAGTGGTCCAGGTTGTGTGACCCTAAAACAAACTCTGGTTTCTCAGTAAAAAAAGTTTCTATTTTGAGCATTGCTAACATATTAGACAATGAGACCACCAGATAGATTTTTGTCATACCTCATGTATGCCTGCTGATTATAAACTGAAGAGATGCCACTTCTGGATTAACATGTTTTTTAGGATTTAAGTGTACCAATTCCAAGGCATTGTCTCACTTTGAGAAATTAATGCAAACAGTGCCAGACTAACAACACTAAATGAAAGACCCACCCAATAAGCAAGTGTTGGAAAGCAGTAATAAACTGCAAACAGCAGACTGAATGGATGGTTTTGGTGAGAGCAAACTAGTGCCCATCTTCCCATTTTAAGCTCAGAGGAAAAACTTTCAATGGGAGATGAAAATTTGACCCTTGTGTACAGTAGATACTGAGCTGGGAAAGGAAGTCTGATGAAAAAGCTGAATGAAATGCTGTGCTAATCCCTTTGAGAAAGCACGCTTGAAGAGTGCTCTGCCATCCAGAGCAAAGTCTAGGTTCAGCTGTGACATCCCCCTCAGGCTCCCACAAAGTTAACAGGACACTGCTCAGGCCCAGAAACAATCTTTAAGCATTAGTCATAATAATGAATAGCATTCTCTCTTAATCTGCTCAGAAAAAAAGTTGTATAACAATTGGATCTCCTGGCACTATCTAAACCACCCTTAGCTGAGCCTCCAGTGCGAGACTGCAAAGACATTCCCTCAGAAAAAAAAATATCTGCTGAAATTTGATATGGAAGCGTGAATCTGCTATTCCTTTTTGTCTGCAGAGGTAGCTTGCCTCTGATCCCTTTGCTTCTCCTGTTCCTACCAGCTGGGATGAATGAGAGCAGGGTCATGGGCAGAGGCTTGTTTGGACACTGCTTAGATCTATATTAAAAAGAAAAAAAGGCATGAAAAGAGTCCCCGAGCAAGGCACACACCTGCCTGTTATTGGGGGTGACAACACAGGATTAAGTAGTTTGTATATAGACTTGTATGGGAGCTTTGACTCAAAAGCCTAATTGTTTCCTAACCAATGGTTAGAAAAGCTGCTGTATCCTTGGCTCTTTCCTGTGGCTTATTCCAAGGCTTAAGGGATCCTTCTGCAATGGCACCATCTTTTGTACTCACCCTTTGCTTAGCTTAAAAGTAATGCAGGCATGTAGACCCATTAAAAAGGGTCTCCAGGAAAACAAGCTTTTTTACTCAAAGAGCGAGGCTAGAAAATTAAAATGTGCCCAGATGCACATGCACACACACACGGTCTGAAAGGCTCTGCTTCTCATCCTTTTACTTCTGAGCAGAGGGAGTGAACTTTTAATTCTAATATCACAAAGACCCCATCACATCTTGGTTCAAAATCTGTCTTAATCAGCCCTGACCACACACAGAGCTGTCTATCTTATTTCCTTCCTTTAAGAAACATCATTGGCAGAGTCAATCCCCACACCTGACATATTTTAAAAATCACACTGGTTTGATCATATACTCCCAAGATGCATTTGTATATGTTTCAGACTCAAAAGACTATTTGATTTTTCATTTTGCCTGTTTTTTAAAAATCAAATAGCCAGTCTGCTCACAGCTATATCTTATGCTGTATTGTTAGACAAAAGCCTAAGACAAGATACCTCACAGGCCATTGACTTACTTGGAGCACCTGATATTTTCCATATTGTTGCAACCAATATTATATTTTGCATCTGTGTCTAATTACATGGGGAAGACAGCTGTGCTGAGGGCAGACAGATTTATCAGGGACTTGAGTGGGGATTGCAGTATGAATTATTCATTTTTCATTATTTCTTGTCTCCTCCCTTTTACAGTAGTGTTTGACAAAAACTTGGTATGGGAGTGAGACTGAAGGCAAGAGGATGCTTTGTGACACTCTGTGACCAATAGGAAACTGTATAGTAAAATTATGCTTTTTGCTAAACTACTGTCAAGGGGAGAACCAAAATAAACTGCCCAGCTCTGAGCCAGGATTGTCTGCACACCGTCCCTAACATAATTGATGATGCCTTTGATAAACAAGGCCATTGTCACATTGGCTGCTGTTTTGTTAGACAGGGAGGTGGATGGAGAGAAAATGAGGGTTTGCCAAGAGAAAAAAAACCAAAAAATCAGTGGGAAAGGGTTGTTAAATGTTAGAAAATGTTAAAGGGTAAGGTTTTGAAAACTTGTTTTTATGTTTCTTTAATAGTGAGGTTTATTTGCAAATCCATGGTACTGTTAAACAGATAAAAACCCAGTCATCCACAGCTGCCCCTTCAGCATGTGACATGTGGGCTCTTATTTTAGGAGTTACCTTAGATGCACAACTGGGATTTTGGCTGTAATACTCTGGAAGCCAGACAATGTACCCACCCAAGCTGAAATGCTAAATAAACACAGACTGTGTAAAGAGTTTGCAAGCCACTTGTATAACTCATCTGAAAGTGTTGTACATGTATTGATTCAGCTTGCTTTCTGATGCACCAGAAGCTGTCCCAGTTTCTAACTGGAGAATATGTCCCACAGTTCATCTGGAAACATTGTTTTTACTGAACTGCAGCCCCAAAATAAAAAGGCACTTTTATTTTCTGATTCCTCATCAGCTTTCACCAGTGCTTTCAGTCACTGTGCTGTAATATTTTCCATTAGGAATAGGGTAGGAGAAGTTCTCATCTTCCTGAATCAGGTTCCAGTCTCAGCTGGGGTAGGTAGTCTAATGATGTGAGTTACCCATCTGTTAAGTGACTCTCACTGATGAAACCCAAAAACTAGAAATAAGAGGGAGAAAGGCAGACCCAGAGGTTGCAGAAATCTAAGGTATTTTAAGAGAAAACTCCACAGGCAGATCCTATATATAGTAATATTACAGAAAACAAACCTGGATTCAAGTAACCCTGGTGCTGGCAAACTCTTACTCCTTGTGTCTCAAACCTGTCTGCAATGAAGGAAGGGTGTTCCCCGTCCTTATCTCCAAATCCATGACATCCATTGTTTTCAGTGACTGACAAACTGAGTCTCTTTTTTAAGGTGATGTAGTCAGCCCTGCAAAAACGGGGTGGGGGCTTGAAATCAAGTTTAGCAGCAAAAAATCAGACCTTGCCTTTGAACCTGTCAGGGCTAATGAGCACTTCAGTGTTCCACCTGCTCTCCAGAGCTGACAGCCCAAGCCCTGGGTTTGCTCCCAGAGTCGAGGCTGCTTTGTGGCAAGCAGGCCAGGCTGCTGCCCGGCGCCAGCCTGCCCATTGTGCCCAGCACATTGCCCGTGACAGCACGTGGCTTTTCTGTCCCTAGGCTGTGGTGCCAGAGTCCCCCGAGCACAACGGGCCCAGATCCACCCGCAGCAGTGTAATAATACTATTAAAATTATTTGGCATAAAGAACGTTATTTGGAATAAAGAGCACAGGGCGTGGGGAAAAAAAATAACTACATGGTAAGCAGATCATAAGAGAAATGCCCTTTAAACAAAATTGCTCGCCCTTCTTCTTGTGTTATTTTCAAAAGGTATTTTCTTTTCCTGAGTTTCAAATATGAGGTTGCAGATGAAAGTGAATTTGTCCCTGCTACAAATTAAACTCTCTTTAGTCATATATTTGCCCCTTTTCCCTTCGAAAGTGATGTGTGGGATCAGAGTGTTCATTTGGTCTCTTATCTGTGAGCTCATGAAGAAAAGTAGTTTGATCAGAAACAATGATGGGCAAACTTCAAAAGCTGTGGAGATCATGCTTGGTCCAAATAAGCATCCAAAACGGCTGGCCTCTGATCCAAGCTATCTAAACACCTTGGGTGTCCAGCATTAAACTGAAAATCTCTGTAAAAGCAGGCCTTACCCACACAATTTTTATTTCTGTCCTCTTCCAGATGGATGAAGTAGTGATGCATTACCTTTTCAGTCTGCTACAAGTGAAAGTCAGGGCATGCTGCTTTCTTAATACAAAAGAGAGCTGAAATATGAAGGCCTGGAGTTCATCTCAGTTCTCATTTTGATCAAATTTGTGTGAACATCACAGTGGGTTTGTTTACTGCTTGTATTTTACTTCTGCAGAGCTGTTGGCATGAGGCTTGACCATCCCAGCCAGGTTCTGCCCTGATGGAGAGGAGTCAACTGTGCTGGCTTGCACCTCTCTGTGTATCCCTCCCTGATGCTGTCACATCAGGAATGTACCAGTGGGGTGGGATGATGACAATTTATTGTCCATGCAGGAAGAGATGTGCAAAGGAGCTATAACTATCTGTTTCCTGCCAAATTGCCTTGAGTTGCTAGGCTGGTGTGAAACTGGCAACAGTATTTGAAAGATTTGGAGGTTTTTCCTCCTATTTGCTCATCTTTAGCTACATGTAAAATACATCTAGTAAGTTTAGAAGTCTTTCATTCTGTTAGTCTTCCTTGAAAAGATCTGCTCATACATTTGTAAAAAAAAAAATTATCAGCTTCTTCGAGCACATACAGTATTGCATTGTGTGATGTTTAGCACTTCAGAAAGGAACTGAAGGAAATTTGTGCATTCTTTGGAGGCAGAAATTGAAAATAAGTTTCAGGTCATCTGAACAACTTGTATCCACCCCAGAGGAAACAGTAGTTTTATGATCTCTGTGTTTACACAAAAGGCAATGTAGGCAATAGCTATAAATCTTTTCCTTGTCCTTGCTAGTGAAACTTTCTGCAAAACACTTTTAAAGTGAATTACCTTCAAACCCCTTTAAAAATAAATATACAGAGGAGGCTTTCTGGTATCACTTGAAAACCCTGTGTGGTCATGATTTGTGTAGTGGGGAAGAGCACAAATGCTCAGTTATTTCATGCACAAATGGTCACAGTTGTACTTGATTTGCTTTGTCTAACAAATTAAAAAGAAAAAAAATGCAAATGTAGGCTGAAATACAATGCTTACTACTTCTGACTTAAAACTACTGAGCACGAGGAAGGCGGTACAAGCTTATCAGCCTTGCAAAAATGGCACTTAATTTGAATTGCCTCTTGCTGTGTGTCCACAGCCTGTGCCTGCCAGCCCCTGGGTTCAGCCAACGCCACGTTCAGCAGCAGCTGGAGATGCCACCCCCGGACAGGATTCTGCTACTGCAAACCAGGAGTGGCAGGTCCCAGCTGTGACAGGTGCCTCGTGGGCTACTGGGGCTTTGGAGAAAGTGGCTGTCGCCCCTGTGACTGCGCCAGAGACTGTGACCAGCACACTGGGACGTGTTTCAACAGGTAAAGCCCTGCTCTGGGTTCACTCGGAGATGGGACTCTAAGAAATGAAACCAATTCTGCAGCAATAACAAAAAATTGCAGGGTGCACAATCATTTGAAAAGGTGGCTGTAAATCATAAAAGGTTTTATGATTTAAAAGGTGCGCCGCATTATCCAAGGCAATCTTGGACAGATGAATCTTTGCAGTAATAACAGGCATTTTCACAACCCCATGGTACTATGTGCAGGGTCTTTAAATACATCTTTACTTCAGAAATAGATGGAAGAGTCTGAAGAATCTGCTTCTCATCTGTGCCCAGGGGAAAATGATTTGCTGAGCAATTACAGTTCCACAGCAATTGCAGCTGTCCTCAGGTCCCAGTGAAATCAACACGTGGTCACTAAGTTACATAATTCCCCCAAAACAAACAAACGTAAGCAAAAAAGGCCCAATTTATAGGTACTTTAAAAAATGCTAAGCCAGCAGGGGGAGGCCTAAATAGAAGCCTAGACCTTGTGATCTCTGCGTGGCATGAAGTTCTGCTCACATTTGCACTCCCAATCTGAAGAAAGCAAGCTCATCAGTCTGGGCACAGCCAAAGCCAGCTGTTTGTTTGTTTGTTTGTGGGTTTGTTTCCCTCCCCTGTGGTGCCCTAATGCAGTGCTGTGGTTTGTGTGTCCCCCAGCTATGACAGTGAGCCCTTCTTTCACATCCCCATCGGGGGACGAATCCCCGACCTCGTCCAAGCGCCAGCCAACGAGAGCGAGGAGGAGTGGAAGTGGAACGATCACGAGCAGGGATTTTCTGCACTGAGGCACCCAGGTACAGCGCAGAGTTTGGGAATATTTAGTTCCAGTTCTTTCAACCCACCACCCTGACTGGGTCTGCTCCCCCCATCTCCAGCTTGTTTGTAGTATGTAAATAGTTTTCAGTTTTGTCTGCCCTATAAAGATCAGCACTTGGCAGAGGTATCAGTGCCACCTACTGCATAACTTGACTTTTCTGAGATGGATATTGCCTTAATACCAGGAAGCGTCAGCACTTCTTAGGTTATGGGATCAAACAAAGGTCTCATTAATTGCATGATTTACAGCTGAATCTGATTCTTACAAATCTCTTCATTAGGGTGAGATTATTAACTGAACAATAGACCTCATGTGGGCTGCATTTTACTTGACAGGGTTGATCAGATTTCAGAGTAATTATTTTATCATATAACAAGAAACACATTTGTAAATCACTGAGCTCACTCTCCAACTTATTCATAAGGTTCATATAGATTACGGCAACTATAGATATCTAACTTCATAACTGTTGATTATTTGCTCTTCTTTTCTCTCTCATGTCCTGGCTCTTCTCCAACCTTTTGTGTTCTTGGGTTTCCCTGCTAGAAAAGTGTGTGTGCAAAGAAAAGGTTCTCGGAAGCGTCAGTGACTTCTGCCAAATGAAATATGCCTATGGTAAGTGGGTGACATGCCCCCAAGCTATGATCATTTCACAATCTTCCTGCTATGCATATTGTTAGCTGATAGCTATGAAAAATGACAGGCTTGGTTAAGTCCTGAGAGGTAGGATTTCTTCTGCCTTTTTTGTCTAGCGACATGCCCAACTTCTGATTAGAACTTAAAAGTGTTTTTCATGCAAAACTCTGTGGTGTTTCCTTCCCACCCAGTTAATTTCCTTCTTTATAGCACAAGGGGTGCTGGAATAATACTCAGTGGAATGATTGGCCTCTACATCAAGAAAAAAATGATAAAAAAACCTCACATCTGAAATTCCCTTGCTTTTACAGTCATTATGCAGGTTCCAATAGCCATGCTCATTTACCAAGGATGTATTTAAAACTCTTGTTTATGAACACCTGGCTCATGCCATCACACGAAGCAAGAGAGGAAAGCTCTGGGATCCAGAGTCATGCCAAAAGGTTATGGGATCCTACTAAATTAAAAGGAACAGAAATGTATCATGGCAACCAGGTGTTGGACGACAAAACAAAAATAGTTCTTCTGGTTTGTGGTGCAATCAATAGAATTTTATGTGACATGCCTGATAGGAAACTTCTTGACTTCCTTCCTGTAGACAGTCCCTTCTCACAGGACAGAGTTTTTGAAAGGCCAGTGTTAAAGCAAAACACTAAAGTTTTCAAACTGGAAATATAACATGTAGAATAAGTGCTTGAAATCAGACTGGTAGCTGCTGGTTGGGGTTTTTCGCCCTTCCTTTGTATATATACAAGTGCTTTCCTTGAATTTCCAAGTGTTTGACATCAGTCCATTAAAAAATAACTGCTAAATAACATGGCAAAAGGATGTTAACTACTTAAAAAGAAAAATCCAGTTTTTATTCCCCAGATTTATTTAAAAGATCCATCAGTGAAGTAGACAAGCACTGTACTTTCTGTACAACTGCACTTCAGGGGATTTTTTGTGTCTCCTTTCAAGGTGTTAAAATTTTACCTTTTAGCAGCATTAACCAAAATTCATTTAGAAATTCATTGTTGGTATCTATTTGGATATGTTTTCTGGCAGTAATAAAAGCAAGAATCCTGTCTGCTCATGACAAAGGGACCCATGCAGAAGTTGTTGTGAAAGTGAAGAAGGTCCTGAAATCAAGCAAAGTGAAAATTGCTCGGAGCAACAGAAGCATTTACCCAGAATCCTGGACCAACAGGGGCTGTACATGTCCCATTCTCAATCCTGGTAAGGACAAAATACTCACTGGGGGTTTTGCTTCCCCTGTAGACAGTGCTTAGGAACATCAGCTGTGATCAGCCTTTCTGGGGCAGCATCCTTTGATTCATCCCCTCCAAAGCATGTTTGCTTTCCAGCTCAGTGTTCAAGGAGGGTGGTAAAGGCAGGAGGGGGGCAAAGGCATAAGCAGCAGCTGCCAAATCCCAGATCTGTGTGCAGAACCTCACTGGAATGAAATCAATTTGTAGTTGTAACCCCTGAGCACAGCCCTGACACCTGTGAATCTGTGTGCCCAGGAGCCAGCAGTGATAGTATGCACATGGATTTATACACATAAGATGGCACATACATAAGCTGGATGACACTGGCAAAGGTGCTGTATGCCAGATCCACATGAAATAGAGAAAATCTGGTTTGGTTCTTTCTTATTCTATTTGCTAACTAAGGGTTTTCCCATTTTCTTTTTTTTTTTTTTTTTTTTTTTTTTTTTTTTTTTTTCTTTTTTTTTTAACTAGGTACTGACTACCTAATAGCAGGCCAAGAGGACTCAAGGACTGGCAAACTCCTTGTGAACATGAACAGCCTGGTGAAACCCTGGAAGGCACATTTGGGAAAACAAGTATCAGATATTCTTCGAACTGGATGCAAATGATTTCTGCTTCAGAAATTACAGTGCTGGACTTTGCCTTTTAGTAACACTGCAGTGAAAGGTGTAGTTAGTTCAAGCATTCCCATTCAACATGCTCCTAGCTGAAGCAAGGAAAGCAGACTTGCCATCCCTCTTTTCATGTACTTAGACAGGAAACTCGGGACATGACTACTTTAAAAAAAAATTCACAGCCTTATCATACAAAATTACCTAGTGCATCATATATAGATCACAAGTCAGTTCTTCACTTGAGCCTGATTCCAGCCAGAATCATTTTACAAGGCAAAACTAAAGATATGGACTAGTGTTTCTATACTCCAGGTCAGAGTCTGATATTAATATGTATAAACTGCTTTCATAATACATTCATTACTGGAATGTAATTTTCTTTATAAATGACCACTAAAAGGCAGCAATTTCTTTCAGCTTCACAAGTGGCATAATACTAAATAAGCATAAAAGAGAGCTCAAACTGACTTACCATCAGACTGCAATTATGCCAATATAATAGGCTGCTTTCTAGGGGACAATATTATCCCACTGCCTACCTGAAACAAACATGTGGCTTATCTTGGGACAGTGTTCTTTAGAGATGTGCACTGCTATCATCAATGCTTAGTGCTGAGCTCTGCTGCAGAAACCACCTTGGCTCAAACTCCATTCCAAATGCAGCTCTGTGCTGTCGTACTTAGTCTGCAACACCACAAAGGTTTCAAAGCACTCACTGCAAATAAACCTTAATTACAGGAAAAAGCCAAAGCGTGAGGAACTAGCAGCTGCTCTAATGTGGAAATTGTGACACTACAAAAGCCACAAAGCAGAAACAGGAGGTAAATGGACTGGCTGGAGCATGTATCAAATGAGGTAAGCTGCAGTTCTGGGAGAGCAACCTGGCTGTTCCAACTGTGCTCAAGACCACTTGCCTTCGATTGCACTTAGTGCTTTCATTGTGCTTTATTTCTCTTGGTCACACTTCAGGGTAAGATGCTGAAACTCTGCTTCCTTCCCATAGTGCCTGAGGATTATTCCTCCCTCTGCAAAAGCACAGGAGTGATAACATCAGCACTCCAGGTAAAATTAGTTCTCCTCTGCAAAGACATTATTTCTAAATCAATTTTACCCTATAGTAATCAAGAGGTAGCTACTTAAATCCTTCCCTAACACAGAATTTTGAGGAAATTGAAGTTTGAGATGTGTCCCCCGTTTAAGGACTCATAACCAAATCAAGTTGGTTGGAGCACTCTCTCTTCAACTAAGCAAAAATCACACTGAATCAATCTATATTCTTTCAGGGATTTACAGAGAAAGAGTAGCATACATGCTACTTTAGCATGTTTCAATTCCATGTCTAATTTTTAATGCTCCTAGGGAAGAGATGTTTTCATTTAGCACTGTCTGACTGGTAAGTGGTACACCAGAAACCCTAATACTAATGCAGAACAATGGTTTTCCAGCCTACAAGTTATGACATTGTTTTGTTCTCTACCAATGAGAATTCAGCCACTTCCATTCTATTAACTGCTATTTTACTTTGAATTTCACAGATTGAACAGCAGAGATACCTTTAGCTCATTTGGAAACGGATGACAGGCAAAAAAAGGGAAAAAAAAAGAAAAGCTTTTTTTTAGGGAAAAAATGCTCCAATTTGTTTCCCAACAAGATATAAACAGTGTTTCTAGTGTTTTTTCCTCCCCATTTTTCAGGAAATTTCCCTTCCTCCATTGCTTTCCCCCTTTCACTTCTTAATTTATTTGTTGTTACCTAAACTGGTATCCAACAATGTGGCATCTCCAACAAGCTATTTAATTAATGCAATAAAACACTTTTTAACCAAGGCATTTGGCAGAATTTGAAATCTCAGCCTTATGAAATTAGGCGCCCAGCAACTGCTTTCTTTACTGTCTCCAGAAATTGTCTCACAACAAAAAGATTAACTAGTTCTCTTTCAAATACCAATAAAGACCTGTACATGAATTTACAGTCTGATCTCAAAGGGCCTCTCACAAGAAATGAAATTCAAGCGTAGGTTTAGAATTAAACTAAGGAACGTGCTTTTCAACAGAGGCCGTTTTACCTGTAGGGGATCTTATTTAATGACAATGAGGATATTCCATGTTGGTTTATAGTCAGCACTGTATTAAAGCAAACACCTCTATTCTACTTTTTGTGCCAGACTGGTGGTTTTGTGGGGAGGGTAAGCATCTGCATAGCTCTCTTCTGTGAATAAAAGTTATTTTTTGACACATTCATTTACTAGCATTACTAGCTACTGCTAGTAGAAATATAACTTGGAATCACAGATTATGTTTTCCATACAGCATCGTACGAAGGGAATGATGTGCTGTGAGGGGAACTGTAAGGAACCTGTAACACTCAGAAACAAGTAACTGGACATGTCATCTAGGGTACAACAAATCCTGTATTAACCTACCCTTCACATTGCTGTGCCATCTGTGTTAATCTGCACTGTGGAATCACCACAAATCCTCCTGTGCTCGTTGGTTTGGCCCTCCTGAACTGTCTGCTCACAGATCATCAATATTGATTTAAAATAAGCCATTGTAAAAAACAAACATTGGTGCTATAATCATTGCTGCACTCCTCTACTCTTCCTCTGTTTGGGTGTGTCTTCTCTTGGCTCCACCATCACCAACAAAACATCAGCTCCAGAGGGGTTAAAAGCAATTGGAAAACAACTGCAGACAGGCTCCTGTTCAACAAAATGAAATCATGTCCAGTGAAGAGAGCTGACTAGGAATAAATGACAAACTGCTGGTAGCTTCTCTACATTGTCCACACTAACACTGACAGAATTTTAATGAGGTAAAACAAGAGTCCAGAAGCACACAAATTCCCTTTTTTACTTCCCTAGGAATAAGTAGGTTCATTGACGTGTGATCAGATACACAGGAGCCATTGCTGTCAGGTTAACAAGGACACTCTCAGTCAGAACTGCACAGGATATAGATCTCGTTTCCAAAACAGCCCTGCCACATCCCCAGATCTAGTAACCCCTACAATGGCCTGCAAGATAAATGTCTCCTCCTAGCCACCATTTTGTTCATCATTCCTTTTGCAAGGAGGAAGGGAAAAAAAAAGGGGTTTTTTTGCACCTGAAGCAAGGCCGTATCTCTAGGAAAGTTACTACACACAATTGAAGTCAGTTCTCTGCAATGCCCTCAGGCTGTACTACAGAGAACAGCAGAAAAAAAAGTGAGCAACTTTTAATTCTGAAAATGCAATTTTGTCTAATTTTAACTATTTTTCAGTCCTCTTTTACATTTTAGAATATATGTTTTGATAAAGGATCATCTAAAAGAGACAAGTTTTAGAGGCAATCATTATCAACATCAGGATATGTAATACATGCACCACTGATTCAAGTTTAAGTGGATTGCACGAACCATACCATCCTAACAAGGAAGTTATCACAAGTTATAGATGAATTTGTGGCCTGCATCATGCAGGAATTGCATAGCTGTTAACAGTCCATCCAGCTTTCAAAAGCAGAGATTGTTTCACCACTGTACCAGAGGAGGACAAGGGTGTGCAAAAACTGAAGAATGGTTAAAACTGAAAATCTGGAGTATTTCACAGCAATATGAGACAAGGGAGTATTTTGGCAGCAATGGTAGGTCTGTAGGGAGAATACAATTAAAATAATGTCTTTGTAATCTAAAAACTAAACAGAGAAAATTCAACTGGAATTCTATCTATATGTAACTGTCTGGGCTAAGTAACTTGTATTGGAAAGATATTCTGATACATCTAGAAGTGCTTCATGTATTGTTAACAGATTATTTTAGCTGAACTTTTATAAACATTTAATCACACTCAGCACATCAGCTTTTAAAGGCCAAAGATCAACTAAAGGCACAGAATTAAAGAACAATTCTTTCACAATGAAAGGTTTCTTTATCTCCCAAGGACTACTTGTGACTTCACACAGCAGCACCTATGACTTGACAAAATCACCTGGTAACATAAAATCGGTATGAAATGGCTCTATAAACACAATTGCTCAAGCCCATTTGAATCTACTACTTTCTCTCCAAGAACCAGTAGCTCAGTGATGGCAGACAGAAAAACAAGGTATTATTTATAAAATAAATATATAAAATAAGAAACACATTAAAACAAGACATATGCAGCTCTAAGTTTTGTATCCACACAATAAAAATGCAACTTACCATCTGCTTATTTCACAAGCTTGTCATATATTGCCAAGGATCATTTTATCATCTTTATTATATACTAGAATAACCACTAATTGATGTTAGATTTAAAATTGGGGCATGTAACTATAGAAGAAAAATCACACAAATGAAGCAATGCTGGGAAACAGAAACAAGGAGTTACATTATTTATGCATTCAAAACTGCATGAGTTTACATAGCAAAAAAAAAAAAAAAATTCCACAAAGAATTATTTAGGATTAAAGCTATGACTTCCTTTCTCAAAACACTTCAAACACATCACACAGTGCTCTTCACAGTTTCTGGTGTAAGATCCTTACATATTTCATATTTGTACTGCAGCACAACAGGTTACCAAGCCACAACAGTCAGAAAGAAGCAAATCCATCCTAAACACACCTTCCAATGTGTCAGATTATCCCCCAAGTTCCCTCTGTCAGTATTAGGTGCACATCTGTACCCACTGTAGGCCAAGATTTGCACATTTTATGTTTTCTACACAGGTGCTACAAATACAGTTGCAGAGGATAAACACAAACACTTTAGAGCACAAAGGCAATGTGTGAAAGAAAAGCACAGCAAGAATGAAAAAGGCAACTTGTCAGAACAAAGCACGCCTTGAAAAACAGCTCTTGCTTCCTCACAGACAGTGCACTAGATTTCTGTTTGAACAACCAGAAGCTTGGGTGCATGTGATTTTTTTTAAATTTGGTGCCCAGTGTTCATCTATTGCCTAAGTGCCAAAGATTATCTCTGCTGCTTTTGTGCCTGTTTACTCAGGTTAACTTGGCACTTGGCTTCCTATGCCTGAAAGAGTCACACTGAGAAGTTCTGTGTCATTTTGTTTCTTTGAAAAGCGGTGATGCAGAGTCCCTGCTATCACTGCCCTCAGAACAAAGTAGTTGTAAGCCACTTAACTGCCTCCAGATTTTTTTCTGAGGATTCAACAGCTGCACTGAAATACTTCAAATACACTGTAAAACTTGACAGAAATTCCCCTCAAACATTCAGAAACATTAGTGGCACCAAATTCCCTTATGCAAGCAAGACACAAAAGTGCAATATGGAATTAATGCTGCTGAGCACCCCAGAGTGCTGCCCACAGAGAAAGGCAAGTGTTTAAACATTGCTGGGTTTTGTGGGCTGCATTACTGACACTACAACCTCTTACGCTTTGGGTGAGGTAGCCAACACAAGGAGAGAAAAAAACAAAAGAACCACAATCTGTTTTGGAAAAAAAAATCTCACAGTCTATCTTTTGCTCAGAAAGACAAACAATGTAGTATAGTTTATCTACAGCTATTAAACTATAGTGAACTATTAAATTATTTGCACTCCTTAAGTAATTTTCAAATATTTTAATAGCTGGTCACGTTTATTTGATGGCTCATGATCCAGTCCACTACAGGTACTGAAAAAGCTTTAGGTTTTTTTATGCCTGCGCTGGGGAGAAAAGAATAAGAATAAAAATCTGACAAGCTGGAGCAACTGATCTTCACAACCCACAAATTAATTCAAGGTCTGCTTACAGCACAGAACAGTTCTCAAATCCGATCAGTGTTAACAAAAAACCAACCCAACAAAACACCACACGACAAAGACACAGGAGCTTCCAGTGAGGGTAAAAAGTATTTGCTTTTTAATATGCACTTAAGTCACAGTATCTGTTTTGAGATCATTACACCAGGTAACAATTTATTGTATCTCAAAGTATTTTACAAGTGCCCATCTATATATTGAAGGAGAAGGTAATAACCAAAGGAAACCAAAATCTGTATTTTTAGAGCAAAAATAAAGCCAGTGACCAACATTCTTTTCATTCATCTTAATCTTCAGTTACACAACACACCATTTTTACAAATGCAAAAGGCATCACAGTAAATAAATGAAATCAAAGAAGATGTGCATTTCAACGTTTTCCTGGCAGTACTGATCAGATGCCAGTAGTAAAATGCAACTATAATCTAGTAATTGAAATTATTTTAGAAATTCTAGATCTAGACCATTTTCAATGTCTTGCATCACTTTGGAAAAAAAAATCTTAAAGGAAAAACAATCATTTAATGTAATTTCTATTGATAGAACTGAATACATTAAATTAAAAGCAGCTGATCAGAACATACTGAAATGAAGACAGACCTGGTGTGCCAGTGGAATTTTAGTTGAGAGCTATGTGCTTCAAGACATTATTCAAGTCAAAACTCAAGGAAAACTTCAGGGTAAAGAACAGCTGTTAAAGTTTTAACTGTGTCCAAAACCAGGTTACACAGTACATACATACACTCACTCTTTTTGCAGTATTTATTTGCAAGGCTGAAGCTCTGAGATTTTTCCTTCAGGAATAAATTATTTATTATGATACAGTGCACAGAATATGGTGAAACATTTCCTCACTACTCAGAAGACAGACACACTTCAGAAGTCCAAGTCTCTGAAAATGAGAAATGGAGACGACAGCCTCCTTGCATCTTCATTAGCTGGATGCCTTCTCCTCTTTGGCAGCAGAGGCCTCCATAGAGGCAGCTTCCAAATCTTTGCTGGACTTCTCATCATTCTCATCTTCTTGAGGGTAAAGATCTGGGTATTTTTGCATGCATTCCTGCATGGCACGGAACTGGTCCACACAGTCTGATCCCTTTATTTCTTCTGTGCTATAGTGGAAACAAGAAAAGGCTGACTTGAACTGCTCCCCACAGGGACCACTAGCCATTCCACCCAGACACGGACAATTCCAATTGATATCTCCATTGGGCAATATCAATCCTGAACAAACAAGAGAGAAGAAAAGTTAATGCTCCTTCCAAACATTGACTTCACTCAGTGACAGCTGCTGGGCTGCAGGTGTGAACTCAAGCACTTATAATGCCATCTTAGCTCTGTAGCTTCAAGGCTGATAAACACCTTTCACTGCCCAGCCAATCTGCTTCCCCCTCTGATCTGTATAATCCTTTAATGGGCACAAGT